AAATATATCACAAATAAAAACATTTCTACAAGTTATCTGCTATTAATTATTTCACGTTACTTAAAGTTGGAGTAAAAAGTTTCATTAGTCACTCAACTTTACATACCGTCATGTTATACTCACTCAACTTTGATATGCTTATGAATAGTCACTGAACTTACAGTAATATCACTCCATCCATCACTCTCCCAATCACCGTTTGAATGGCTGCTGATCTGGCTAGACGGAATCACCCGTGTCAATTAACGCCGTCATCTCTTGCCACGAAGCGTTCCTGAAAATCAGAACACCTCTCCCCCACCCAAAATCGAAGAACCCTAGAATTCGAGAATTTGCTTTGCCCAAATTTCTCCTCTTCAAATTTTCAAAATCCCCACATAAGATGATTTCAAATCCCTAATCTACCACCCCTCCATCCTGCCTCGTATCCCATAACCTAAATCACCGAAACGCGAAGGAGGAAATCAGCTAGCTCGGCCACAGAAATCATCACTTGAACAGTGTACACAACAGCACATCTGAAGGAGTTTTCAGTTTGCACACATGGATGGAGCACATGGAGGTAAAGCCCACCTTTTGTAATATTTATATGCCGTAAAAAATTACTGGATGCATTCAATACATTGGTGTTTTTGGAACCTGTGGCTATACATTCATGAAAGCTATATGTATGCTGGACGAATTTTAAATTAGTATGCTAATTGAAGTGATAGTTGAGAGTTTTTATTGGACATTACTTCTCTCTATCTCTCAAACAATGGTTTTTATGTTCTAAAACACAGAACATCTTTGTTATTTTGAATGCAGTCTGCACCTACCACGTATCATGATGTGTTTAAATCAGAATTGTATATCTGATACCCAACTCCAGTTTGTGTATTTATGGTTTAGTATGTGTATTGCAATATGGTTTATGGTTTCCAGATTATTGAATTTTTTTTGTTTTAAATTTGTAAACCAATTGTTAAACAATTCCACTGTTTTCATTTGTATGACTGCAATGTGACAGATGGCATCAACATTGGATTGGATATGAATGAAGCGGGACATGACGGAGTAAGTGCGCTTGTACGGGATGTGGAAGACAATAACAGAGTTGATGACTTGGAGTATCCATCCTATGAGGAGTTATTAATGAATTTGTTCATCGGACGAAGAGGTTGGTTCGTGATGAAAGTGAAGATGGATATACATGGCTGACAAGAAGAGGTAATTGTGAACCATAAACACTAGTTTTTAGCTGACAGTATTCTGAAGAAAAACTTGAATTGGGTGGTGTGGGGTGTGGTAAGTTCTTTAAGCTATTTAAATGATTTAAACTAATTTAAGTGCTTCTGAAGATTCTTTCTTGTATAATCTTGTTTTAGACATTTTACTTGGACTTAATCAAATTGTAATGTTAGCCAAGAAGTCTATTTGATGCCATTCTTAACTGAATCTTGAGTGACTCCACTTCAATTTTATAAGACATTTGTACTCTAGTTGCCTGCACCATTAAATAGATACATAACTCCACACGTGACCATTAAGTCGTAAAAATCTATCTTCAGGAGCATAAAACAATTCTTTCACCATTTGAAGTGTTAATCTACTATCTAAAATATCGCCCATCTCTACCAAGATTCTAGCACAAATTCAACTGTGTAAATTGCTTGGGAAAAGGGAATTCTAAATGCCTTGTTGCGTTAGCGATCCTTTTATGGCTCGTCACGTAAGTCTGAATCTCATATTTTCCCACGTAAAAAGAAGTATAAATATCACATTATTTTGCTGAGATGCCAAAGGTATTTTCAATTTGATCAAGTTTACTGATTCAGACTTGTATTTGATTATTTTGCTGCTTCTTTGTGCTTGCCCCATAATTGTTGGACCTTATTTATTATCGTATTTTCATATGGCAGGGTGATGCTGATGGGTATGATTAGTAGTTGTGGATGCAATGCACAAGGCAAACCATGCAAGCCGAATTTGTCACATGTAGACCTAATTGTTCAACACGTGTTCAAGTAACTGAAGAAAAAAATATCGAGATATCGATCAACATTACCATGCGCGTAGGAAATGGGGTTACGGAGGATAATGAAAAAGGAAAGGGGAAAGTTCAGTGACTTTGTTATAACTATGTGATCGAGTTGAAGACTTCTATTGTATTTGGCGAAATCCATATTTATGTAATCGTCTTTGAACTTGTAGTACATTATGTATGTTGTAAGACTTGAATGTAAAACTTTTATGTAAGAATTGAGGAACGTTTTCTCGTGGTACATACCCCAGTTTACTTGAATCCATTTCTTTATATTTGCTTCTTCAAACTGCCCTTTTCCAGCTTCTGTTTACTTGAAGATCACTGATTTGTAGGTGAAGTTATAGTATTTGAACCTGTACCATTTTCTGAATATCACTGATTTGAAGGAGACACCACCAGCTTGTGTTTTTTGCTCTAGAAATATTTATGGCAGTTTTCCAAGTGCTTTCTAAACAACCATCTTCTTCAGCATTTTTAAATAGTTTTAAGGAAAATCAATCATGTTTCCATCCAACTTAAGAGACTAATCACTTTCAACAACCCTTTGATACACTATAGTCATAAGCCTTATACAGTCGAGTGTACTACATACAAAACGTGCATTATAAAGTTCCCGCATAGCTTGCAACGAAAATTAACAAGATTCAATATGAATAAGCACAAGTGATTCAATTCAATTCAAATGATATAGGACATGACATGAATGTTTCATCTTGTTGATACTAGACAAAGACATGGAAAATAAAAGGAAATTCATTATACTATGAGTAATATGAGTATCTGCAAACTGGAAAGGTACTCAAAAGATGTATCTAAAATATGAATTGAATCTTGATCAACTGAATCTGTTTATCAATGCATCATCTCAAGGAAAATGTGGATCGAGTTAGTTTCTCAATCTGCAATAATCAGCTCCTCCTTGGGTTCATGCCAAGTCTCGAACCACCATTGATCGATTTTAACACTGCCCTTTTCGCCTTCATCAATAGTACTAGGTAAGGTAAGATCAAAATTGCCATCCATTGCCACAGATTCAATGGTTTTGTTCCCTGTAAATCCAGTGTAATGAGCCCTCTTGTGACCACCCAAAGCTTGGCCAGATGAAAAGACCCTCGAGCATGTTGGACACCGAAACTTGCAATAACATTGCATTCAATCTTGGAATTAGCTTCAGCAACAGCTAGTGAGCAGGTGTCCGCCTCGACTGAAGAGGTACTACCAAGCATTTTCAAGCCAAACTTCTCGTCAAAATCTATTAACATTTTAGAATCATGGCCATCAACTATTGTTTTGTCACAACTAGATTTCAACACACCATCATCAGAAATTTCTGAATTAACTTTCATCTCATTTTGACCAGAAAAACCCAAATACAAATCATCTGAACAAGGCAAGTACTTTGGTTTCCAGTAAACGGAAATTCAGGAAATTACCTGCACATTGCGAGGAACTGGTTGGGCTTTTTTGGTTTCCTCATTCCTATCTTGAGTCGGGGCTTCACTGATCGGGCATCAATTTTCCTTCCTCCTTCGCTGATGTTGCAGAGTCGAAGAGGAGCAATTTTCCCAATTGATTTCTAGGGTTCGTTTGAGGTTTGGGAGGGATTGAATCTTGAGTTTTGGAAGGGATTTCTGGAGTTCGTATGTTTGGGAGATTAGGGATGTTGAATTTGAAGGTGGGTTTACATTTTTGGGTGAAAACGGTGGTTTGAGGAAAACAACTCTTCACGTGGCAAGGTTATCACGCCGTCTCTTGCCACGTCGGAGTCCGTCCAGCCACGTCGGAAGCATATGAAACGGTTGAGTGCATAATGATGGATGGACTGGGTTTTGAGAAAGTTGAGTGGCCATTCAAGGTCAAAACAAAGTTCAGTGACTACAACATGGCAAGATGCAAAGTTGAGTGAGTGTTCAAACTTTTTACTCCTTAAAGTTGAAAGGCATTCAATCA